CACACCAGCTTTGGTCCTCCCTCTATGTTTATCACAACTCCTATCTACCTAACTTGAGTTTTCAAACATCCTAACTGTTGTCTCCCTGAATTGGACACCCTGTGGGCCATGAGGGTTCAAAGGTTCACCACCTACATCAGAAAACACTATTTCTGATGTCTTAGGAACACTCTTTGTCAGAGAATTTGAGATCCTCTTTCCAGTTTTGGACATCCTTCCACAAACACCCTTCTCCTTCTCGTTCGGATTTCCGTGTTACTACAACTCCAACCATTGTCAATGCCCCCAACCCTTGCCTATGATTTCTGTTTGATCATGGGGTGTTCTTGGTCTTGACACAAGAGGTAAAGGTAAAGGTCTTTCCCCTGACATTAAGTCCAGTCGTGTCCAACTCTGGGGGTTGGTGCTCATCTCCATTTCTAAGCCGAAGAGCCGTCATTGTCCATAGACACCTCCAAGGTCATGTGGCCAGCATGACTGCATGGAGTGCCGTTACCTTCCCACTGGAGCGGTACCTATTGATCTACTCACATTTGCATGTTTTCGAACTGCTAGGTTGGCAGAAGCTGGGGCTGACAGCGGAAGCTCACGCCGCTCCCCGGATTCGAACCTGCGACCTTTCGGTCAACAAGTTCATAAAGTTGCCAAAATTACAGTTATGAAGTGGCAACGAAAATAATGCTATGGTTGGGGGTCACCACCACATGAGGAACTGTAGTAAGGGGTCGCGGCATTAGGAAGGTGGAGAAACACTGACCTAGAGGGAGGGCCAAAGCTAGCCCGTGCCTAATCTACACTGCAGGATTACTTCAGTTTGGAGCTACTTATTTGGACACTGGCCTTGGCGAGGAATGCTGCTGGGAGCTCCATGCACTACCTATAGCTTCTGGAGGAAAAATACAAGTGTCCACCTCTGATTTGCAGGCAGCTTTGGCTTCGAAATGGTGTGGGACTGCAACTCTCTCCTGGATGCCTATTCCTAGGATGCTGGGCAGTGTAGTCCACCTCTCTTTGCCAAAGGGACCTTTGTGCAGCCTGCAAAAGAAGCCATCTCTCTCTCTCTCTCGCCCTTGGTAGCCACAGTGAGTGTTGCAGAAGCCAAAACCCAATGCCTTTCTGAGTCCGGATAAGTGGATATGGATGATGATGATGATGATGATGATGATGATGATGATCTCTCTGGATCAGGTGCCTTTGTGGAGTTGAAGCCTCCGATGTGTGTGCCTTGCTTGACTCCTGGCTGCCTTTGCAATGGATTCAGGAATTCAGATCTCTTTTTTCAAATAAATGCAAATGTGTTTTGTTTTTCCAAGCGTCTCTCTATGATCAGCCTCCCATATATCACATTGATTTATCTACCAATATCTATAGCCATCTATCAATAGCCGAATGGCCAACTCTCAGGAGGGCTTGGGTGGTGTCCATTCCTAGAAGAATGGGTTGGACTGGATTCTCTTAAGGTCTCTTCTGACTCAGGGTAGATGGTCATCTGTTGGGAGGGCTTTGATGGTGTCTTCCTACCTGGCAGAAGGGGGTTGGACTGGATGGGCCTTTGGGTTGGTCATTTCCAACACTAGGAATCTATGACATGATGGAGATGTATGGTATCTATCTACCATAGGTATGGCCATCTATCAATGGCAGGATGGCCATCTGTTGGGAAGGTTTGAATGGCATCTTCCTGCCTTGCAGAAGGGGGTTGGACTGGATGGGCCTTTGGGTTGGTCACTTCCAACACTAGGATTCTGTGACATGATGGAGATGTATGGTATCTATCTACCATAGGTATGGCCATCTATCAATGGCAGGATGGCCATCTGTTGGGAAGGTTTGAATGGCATCTTCCTGCCTTGCAGAAGGGGGTTGGACTGGATGGGCCTTTGGGTTGGTCACTTCCAACACTAGGATTCTATGACATGATGGAGATGTATGGTATCTGTCTACCATAGGTATGGCCATCTATCAATGGCAGGATGGCCATCTGTTGGGAAGGCTTGAATGGCATCTTCCTACCTGGCAGAAGGGGGTTGGACTGGATGGGCCTTTGGGTCGGTCACTTCCAACACTAGGATTCTGTGACATGATGGAGATGTATGGTATCTATCTACCATAGGTATGGCCATCTATCAATAGCAGGATGGCCATCTGTTGGGAGGGCTTTGATGGTGTCTTCCTACCTGGCAGAAGGGGGTTGGACTGGATGGGCCTTTGGGTTGGTCATTTCCAACACTAGGAATCTATGACATGATGGAGATGTATGGTATCTATCTACCATAGGTATGGCCATCTATCAATGGCAGGATGGCCATCTGTTGGGAAGGCTTGAATGGCATCTTCCTACCTGGCAGAAGGGGGTTGGACTGGATGGGCCTTTGGGTCGGTCACTTCCAACACTAGGATTCTGTGACATGATGGAGATGTATGGTATCTATCTACCATAGGTATGGCCATCTATCAATGGCAGGATGGCCATCTGTTGGGAAGGTTTGAATGGCATCTTCCTGCCTGGCAGAAGGGGGTTGGACTGGATGGGCCTTTGGGTCGGTCACTTCCAACACTAGGATTCTGTGACATGATGGAGATGTATGGTATCTATCTACCATAGGTATGGCCATCTATCAATGGCAGGATGACCATCACTCAAGAGGGCTTGGATGGCATCCTTCCTGCATAATGGCAGAAGGGGGTTGGACTGGATGACCTTGGAGGGGGTCAGTGTCCATTCTGTCCTCTTCAGGAGCTGACCGGGTCCCGAGTGCGAAGCCCCACAAGCCTTTGTGTCCCCGATGCCATGGCTGGTGAGGCTCTACCTGCTGGGCCTGCTGCTCTCGACCTTCTCGGCCCTTCCAAGCGTCTCTCCATTTTAATAATAATGGGCTCTTAAGGAAAAATTATTATTTCATTTACTTCATTTATATACAGTATCCCCTCATTTATTTATTTACTTACAGTATTTATATTCCGCCCTTCTCACAGTTAATGTTTGGTCACGACCCGTAGAGTCTAGAGCCTGCCAAATCTTATTTATTTAGCTTACAGTATTTAAGTATTCACGGCAGACCTCCTTTCTTCAAATTTCACCCTGAAGGGACCTCAGGGTGGATCACACATGCTCATTCATACATGGGAAACATTTCAATGCCATAGAAAACACCACAGGTCTGTCCAGCTGCCAAAGGGCTTAGCAGAACACTCTCCTGGTTTAACTTGTTATTCACAATACATGGTTACTATTAGAATATTTATGCGTGATTCTGTACCACTAGGGATCTTAAAGTCTTCTGCTGAATCTTTTAATGAATGATTCCTGCCTGCTATAGAGTCTATAGCCTGATAAGAATGATTATACACAGTTTTACTGCTGAGTGATCACTGATGAAAAGTACTACCTCCTCAACTTTGTCTCATCTTTGCATGCTTGCTGGAGATTTTTACAATTATGGCATCTGTGAGTAAACATTAGTTTAGATTACAAGCATAGCCCCAAGTTGCATAACTCGTATTAAGATCAACTTAAGCCTAACAATATTTCCTAACTTGAGACAAGATATTTTTGGATCAAACTGCTGTTGAAAGCAAACCCAAGTGGAGTGCAATGGCCTTGGATTCTGTTTTTGTCTGCAAAGGTGGTGTCACTTGCCATGGGCCATCCCGTTGTGTTATAGCGTAGAGATGAGATCAAAACTCTCCCTGTGCTGACGTTTTCCTATCCTCGCGCAACCTAAACTATTTAGAATATTAATGCATACTAATCAAGACTTAATCATTTGGGCCTGTGCTAAAGAAGTCTTTTAGTCAATGTCCGAAAAGAAAGTACCATGATGCATGATAGACCCCTCTAGAGAGAGAGATGAGGATATATTCATAGTAATCATTTAAACTACACACCCTTTTGCCACTGGCTTGCAGAGGTAATCACTGAGCTAATGTAATCAACTGAAAGCCCATGGAGGGCTCCAAAGAAGAATGTTTTGCTCGCAAGGTACGTTTTATTCTATTCTCAGAGGTTTTCCACCACAAATAGTCTTTAGATGGCTTGTGAAGTATAACAAAGTCTCTTATTAATGAACAATCAAACAGAAACTTCTCTTGTCTTCAATAAAGCTAAACAAATGCTTCCAGACTTATATGCAACTGGTAGCTTCCTAACTGTACGAAGACAGGCAACTGTCTTCAATAACTTCTTTTACTTTAAAGGAAAGTCCCCTTTTTAACTTCTCCCAGGCTGACTGTAATCTAACCCTTACTGATGTGGGCTCCGCTACCGGGTCGAACTGCTTCTCGAACGCCGAGTGGACCTACCAGTAAAGGCTTAGATGTTCTCCAGCTGGAGTTCTTTGGTCTTTAGGGCTGTTTTCCTGGAAATCTTTGGAGACTCTTAAGACTGTTCTCCCCCGGAAAGTCTTGGATGCTCTTAAGACTGTTTTCCCCCCAGAAAGTCTTAAGGGTTGAAGCTTTTGTACAGGGGAAGCTTGCACACGTCCTGTACATTAGCTTTCCTTGCTGAGACTAACTAAAAATGGCTCCCTTCCCCTCCCAATTGCCTTGAGCAAGGGGCGGAACCAAAACTTAACTATGATGGACAGGTGACTTGCCCTATGACTGCAACCAAAGGAAGCCACCCTGGGATTCCCTGAAACCTTGGACTGCAAGCAAACATTTAATACAAAGCAAATAAAATAGGAGCTCCTGGTACAGCCGAACCAGAACACTCCCAGTTTTATCAAACAGTTTAAAACAGCACTTACTTGCTGGCTGTTTATATCGTCCAAAATATAAAACACAAAGGTCGCACGCAACTACAGAATAAATAAAAACTGATAACAAAAATAACTTCATAGTCAAAAGGGTCCAGTCCAATGGTCAAATGCTGAGACCATTGCTCAAATGCTGAGCAAAGTCCAGCGATCAAGAATCTATACCGTAGTCAAAAGCCAGTCCAAAGGTTCAAGGTTCCAGGGTTCCAAGACTTCAGGAGACAGGTCAGGACACCAAAAATCCACTAACCTGGGGGAAAACCAGCAGCATCCACCACCAAAATGCAACAAATACTTTTCTCCCAAAGATCAGTCCCAAGGCTTGCTCCTTATATCCAGAAAAACCCAGCTGCAACCCATCTCTTGCATCCCTCCACCCTTAATTGCTCTCACCCATGAAGACTTACAGATTACTCAACCCTTTAGAACTTAGCATTAACCCTTCCATCACCAACTGCTAGGCCTACCACCAACAACCACCATCAGCTGCAGAACATGATACATGACACTCAGCCAATTATAGATCCATCTAATTGTAGCCTTGCCCAGCCCACATTGGACTAGTTTGCTTGCAAGAAGGTCATGGGGGACTTTGTCAAAGGAAGGCCTTTCTGAAATCAAGATATACTACATCCACAGCGTTCCCTGCATCTACTAAGCTTGTAACTCTATTGAAAATCAGATGAGCCTGGCAGGATTTGTTTTTGAGAGATCCATGCTGACTTTGAGTGATCCCAGCCTTCCTTCCTAAGTGATTGCAGGCTGCCTCCTTCATGATCTGTCCCAGAATCTTTCCTGGTCAACTTGTTGTCCACCAGTGCTCTCATGACCTTTGCCCCCTCCCTGAGGAAGCTGCTGGGCTGAGTGTGACATCACAGCCTTGGCAGCTGGCCCCGCCCCCAGGGATGTCTCTGTGATGCGTGCCGCAGCATCACCTGTGGGGCTCCAGCCAAAGAAGTGGGCTGCTTGCCTCCCTTGGTGGTATCATATATCCTGGGGAGAAGCCAATGGCGAAAGGGGTCCCGAGCAGCATCTACGACGTGGGTGAGATGTTGGGCCTGGAGAAGGGCCCTCTGTGCCGTTTGATCCATTCCTCGGTCTACAACCTTTTCCCCAAATCAGCCGTTTTTGAGAGCAACTTTCTCCAGGTAAGGAAGCAACAGGTATGCATGGATGGTGGGGACCTATTTGTGCCCATTCCCTGTGGACAGGTGGAAATGGAAGTTGGCCATCACTCCCTGTTTGTGGTGGTAATGCAAGAAGAGAGGGCTCCGCCTGGTCCAGGCCATGAACTGGCCGCAGTGCTCAGTGGCCATTTTGCAAAATGGAGCGAAAGGAGCCTGTTGTGTCCACACAGGTGACCAAGAAGGGGAGGTGGGTCAGCATCACCAACCTGCCCACCGTGGTGACCATGGGGCTGACCTCCACGGACCCCTCCCTCCCGCTGCCCAATGTCCTGGTGATGGCCAAGCACCGGCGGACCCCCGGCAGAAGGGAGGACCTCCGGCAGCCCACCTTGGAGCTGACCAGGTAAGACTGGGGAAGGGGCAATGCAAGCGAGGGGGAGTCCATGGGGCTTCCCATCATCCTGGAAAGACGGGACTATTTGGATGCCATAAAGGGGGTTCTGTTCTGGGCCCAGTGCTGCTCAACATCTTTATTAGTGACTTGGATGAAGGTTGAGAGGGTGTGCTGGTCAAGTTTGCAGGTGGGACCAAATTAGGAAAGAGAGCAAATGCTCCAGAGGACAGGATCAGGACCCAAAAACCACCTCAACAGACGAGAGAGCTGATGGGCCAAAACTAGCAAAATAAGGATCAGGATTCACTTTCCTCTTTCCTTCCTCGCTCCCTCCTCTTCCTTCCTTCCTTCCTTCCTTCCTTCCTTCCTTCCTTCTTCCTTCCTTCTTCATTCTCTCCTCCCTTCCTCTCTTTCCTTCCTTCCTCCCCCTTCTTCCTTCCTCTCTCTCCTCTTCCCTTCTTTCCTCTTCTCCTTCTTCCTTCTTCCTTCCTCCTCCTTCCTTCCTCTCCTTCCTTCTTCCTTCCTTCCTTTCCTTTCCTTTCCTCTCCTCCCTCCCTCCCTTCCTTTCTTCCTCTTTCTTTCCTTTCTTTCTTTCCTTCCTTCTTTCCTTCTTTCATTCCTTCCTTCCCTCCCTCCTTCCTTCTTCTTTCTTTTTTCTTCTTTCCCTCCCTTTCTCCCTCCCTTCCCTTCTCCTTCTTCCTTTTCCTCCTTCCTCCCCCCTCCTTTCCTTGTCTTTTTCCTTCCTTCCCTCTTTCCTTCTCTCATTTCTCCTTCTCTTTCCTCCCTTCCTCCCTTCTTCTTCTCCTTTCCTTCCTTTCCTCCCCCTCCCTCCCTTCCTCTTCTCTCCTTTTTTCTCCTCCTTCCTTTTCTTCCTCCCTCCCCTCCTCTTTCTCTTCCTTCCTTCCTTCTTTCCTTCCCCTCCTCTCCTTCTTCCACTTTCCCTTCCTCCTTCTTTTCCTTCCTTCCCTCCTTCTCTTTCTTCCTTCCTTCTTTTCTTCCTTACTCCCTCCCTTCCCTTCTCCTTTCCTTCCTTCCTCCCTCCTCCTCCCTCCCTTCTCTCTTCTTCATTCCCTTTCCTTCTTTCCTTCCTTCCTTCCTTTCTCTCTTGTTCCTTCCGTCTTTCCTTCCTTCCTTAGGATGCTTCCCTTGCGCTACCTGCGGCTGTCTGTCCGGAACGCCCGTCAGCGCATCCTGCGCCTGCAGATGGTTTCCCGGAGCGACTTCTTCCTGCAGCTGCACCCGGACCACCCTGCCGTGGTCTTTGCCTTCTGGGCCCGGCTGGCCGACATCCTGGAGTGCGGCCTCTCCATCCGCCACGGCCTCACGCCCAGGCGGCCACGCAGCCGAAGCAGCAGCAGCAGCTCCTCTTCCGACGAGGTACATCTCCGGGGTAAAGCAGCAGATCAGAAGCTTCTAGTATTCGGACTCCAACTCCCACCATTCTTAACATCCTACCAGGTGTTAGGAATTGTTGATGTCCAAAACACCTGGAGGGAGGGCTGAAGTTTGCCCAGGCCTGTTCTAGTGCCAGCAGTCAAGCCATTTTGTTAAGCTTCCAGCAAGAGATGTGAAAAGTGGTGCCGAACTGCATTCATTGTACGCTGTCGATACGGGCTCCGTCTCTCCCCACTCCGTAGGTGCGTCAGTTCTGGAACAGCTGTTCCAGGAGCTCCAATTTTGTGCTTTGCACTGAGTGTTTGTTTATAGTTGTTGTGGTTCAACAGCAACAGCATGATGGGACTGAGAGTGCAGATGAGCATGATGGAAATGAGAATACAGATGCAGGTGTGGGCTTTCAGTTTTCTCAGTCACAATCTGTAGCTAGAGACAAGCCGCTTTTCTCACAGGAACGGAATGTAGCTGATAAGGCAGTTGGTGGGGATCAAGGTCAGGCTGCCCAACAGGTGTTGAGACGGAGTTTACGAATTGCGGCCAAGTATTGAGCTCATCCGTTGGTGGGAAAACTGCTTGTTACCTGCCTGTTTGATGTTCAATGTTTTGATGTTTTACCTATAAGTAAACTGCCTTGGAGCTGGTTCTGTGTCAGTTCCAACGTTGCTAAATGGCTTGCTTGCCTTCGGCTCTGGGGCTTGGGGAAAGCCTGCTTCACGTTACCTCATGCTATTTCCTGGACTTTTACACTGCTTCTATGCTTCAAGTCTCCTGCTTTGACTCAAAGGGATTATATTGGATTTTTATCCTTGTATTACTGATCTTTCCACTGCTGATGAACTGCTTTGTTTGAAAACCTCACAATCAACTTTCTACCTCACAATTTTGGCTGGTTTATCAGAGATAGCAAGGTGAATCTTAGCCTGAGGTACAACAATAGTTCTAAGTTTCAGGGACTCTGCAGATAGGTGGCTTCATTTGGGTGCTTTCATAGGGCAAGCCACCTGTCAGTTATCATTGGGTTCCCTGGTTCCACCCCCTTTCTAGGCTTTGGAGGGAAGGGAGCCTTTTCCAGTCAGTCACAGCAAGGTAGCCAATGTATAGGATGTGTTTACTTCCCCTGTACAAAGGCTTCAACCTTTAAGAGCTCCAGGGAAAGAACGCCAGGGAAGCATTCCCACAGCTTTAAGAGTCTCCTAAGAACTCCAGGGATTCCTGAGTTTCCAGGAAGACAGCCAACTCTAAAGAACATCCATCGCCTGTCTGGTAGGTCCTTTCAGCACTCGAGAAGCAGTTCGGCCTGGCAGAGGAGCCCATACCAGTGAGGGTTGGATTTTAGTTAGCCTTGGGAGAAGTTAAAAAGGGGAATTTTCCTTTGAAGAAAGTTATTGAAGATAGTGCCTGTTCCCTGCGGACAAGTTTGAGAGAACTGATACTTCACCAAGAAAGCTTTACAATTCCTGTTGGGTTCATTAATAAAAGACTTTGTTGTACCTTTTAAGCCATTTGAAGATTCCTTTTGTAAAGGAAGCCTCTGAGAACTTTTCCTAGGGCTTTTCCTGGCTTCCCGCTGGGTAAAGGTTACACATCCTATATCTAAAGTCAACTAGCTATAGGCCCAGCAGTGACAGAACAGCGTCCACACTGTAGAACTAATGCAGCTTGATGCCACTATTATTGCTTTTGTTGGGGATCCATGGGCTGATGTGATTTTATTATATCGTAACCAGGACTCTCAAGCTACTGGCCAAAAGAACAAAAAAATAATAATACATATAGAAATTAAAATCAATTTTAATAGCCATTGAACTAAAATGGCATGCTGCATTCACAAAGTAAATTTATAAGACAGTAAACAGTGTTGCATTAAGTTAAGTTTAATGACTGTATTTCCATATGAGTATCAAATCAAGGCAGAGTTTATGAGATGGTATAAGATAGTATGAGATTATTATTATTATTATTATTATTATTATTATTATTATTATTATTAAATTTGCATTTAATTGATATTTCTATATGAATGTCAAGTCATGGCAGAATTTATGGGATGGTATAATATGCAATATATAACAACAATAACAACATAAAAATTGGGTTGTTGTAGATTTTCTGGGTTATATGGCCATGTTCTAGAGGCATTCTCTCCTGATGTTTCGCCTGCATCTATGGCAAGCATCCTCAGAGGTATTGACTTGATATTCATATTGAAATATCCATTAAAAACAATGTTTATGTTGTCGAAGGTTTTCATGGCCGGAATCACTGGGTTGTTGTAGGTTTTTCCGGGTTATATGGCCATGTTCTAGAGGTATTTTCTCCTGACGTTTCGCCTGCATCTATGGCAAGCATCCTCAGAGGTAGTGAGTCTGTTGGAAGTAGGAAAATGGGTTTATATATCTGTGGAATGACCAGGGTGGACAAAGGACTCTTGTCTGCTGGAGCTAGGTGTGAATGTTTGCTCCTGAATCTTTTGTTGAGAGGTGATTAGATGTGCCTGATGAACCAACCTGGACACAGTGTTTTATTTGAGAACACAGAAATGCTGGACCACTCTCACAACCACCATGTCAGGCTACACAGAGAAGCCATTGAAATCCACAAGCATGTGGACAATTTCAACAGAAAGGAGGAAACCATGAAAATAAACAAAATCTGGCTACCAGTATTTAAAAAACTCTAAAATTACAACAGTAAAACAACAGAGAGTAAACAATCAGGCACATCTAATCACCTCTCAACAAAAGATTCCCCCAGGCACTGCCAAGCCATCAAATGCTAATCCAGGTGGTCAGTTGAAACATTCACACCTAGCTCCAACAGACAAGAGTCCTTTGTCCCACCCTGGTCATTCCACAGATATATAAACCATTTTCCCTAGTTCCAACAGACCTCACTACCTCTGAGGATGCTTGCCATAGATGCAGGCGAAATGTCAGGAGAGAATGACTCTAGAACATGGCCATATAACCCAGAAAAACCTACAACAACCCAGTGATTCCGGCCATGAAAGCCTTCGACAACATAAAAATGGCTTTTAATGGATATTTCAATATGAATATCAAGTCAAGGCAAAGTTTATCGGATGGTATAGGACAGTATGGAGTATCATCATCATCATCATCATCTTAGTAATACTACTACTACTAATAAATTCTTATCCGCTTCTCCTCAAGGTATTCGTTAGGCCTGATTTGAATACTTACTCTCAAGCGACCAAAAAGTGCACTTATCTGGCATCTCCCAAACCCATCAGTGCCGGTTAACTAAGAATTTACTGTATTTTGGGGTTTTGGCATTCAGGCAAGGGATGCCCAACCTGTACTTTCAAATGCATCTTTCTATGCATCCAGTTTGAACATTGGGCTTTACTGGGACAGACTGGGGCATTTAGGGAATGGGATGCTTTGGAACCTAACAGTTTCCCCCAAACCGAATGGATTCAAATTTCAGTTAAAAAAAAGAAGAAGAGAGATTCGGCATAAACATTAGGAAGAGCTTCCTGCAAGTAAGCGCTCTTTGGCAGCAGAATAGTCTCCTTCCTGAAGGTTTCTCAGTAGAGGCTGGATGGCTATCTGTTGGGAGGGATCGCATTGTGCCTCCCTCCCTCCCTCCCTCCCTCCCTCCCTTCCTTCCTGGGAGCAAGGGATGGACTGGGTGGCCCTTGGAAGGGTTCCTTCGATCAGTGCAGTTTGCTGGCCAACTTGCTTCTTATCATCCAATTAACTGACTTCAGACACAGTTGTTTCTGCTTCAGTAGCGGCTCTTATCTTTATTTACATTTCATTCATTGCAATAACACTTACTCATTAGCACAGTCAGATGCAAGGGAGAAGAGCCAAGAGAAAGGACAAAATGGTGTTTGCTATATTTATACCCCACTGTTATCAGCTCATTAATTCAGTGTCCAGCCTCCTAGTCTATTGCAACATCTTCCTTGTCTGTTCCACACATGCTTCATAATGTTCCAAAGATTAACTCTTTCACAGCTAGCAGCATGGACATTTTAAACTTGTACAATATATATATATATATATACATTGATACCTTCCAACTCTCGGGTCCTCATGGCTCCCCGCTTCCTCTCTTAGGGACTGGTGAAGAGCGTCAGCAAGAAGGTGTCGGGCCTCGTCTCCCAGATTTCGGGGAAAACGGCAAAGAAAAAGGAAATGCAGAGAAGGTAATATGAAGGAGATTGTGGTTCCATAGTCTTTTGCATCCCTATCAAGATCTTATTAATTCTATGATTCAAGGTGGGGGGGGGGAACCCAAAATAAAAGACACAAGGGGAGCTTTTAGATACATAAAACTGACATTGCACTGGGAGTGTTGTGACTCAGTTTGATTCTGAGTCTGAAACTGAACCCTGTGGGTCTTGTGAGCCAGAGTTCCCTGATGAAGAGGATGATGGGATTCAGATTTCTGTTGTGCCTGCTTCAGACAGTGCAGCAGGGGAAACATCAAGTCAGTTCTCAGGGGAAAAGAATGTCAGTGGGATAAATAACAGCCAGATGGAGTTGTCTTCGCCTTCTCAGCCTTCCCACAGTGATCTAGCCCAGCTGGACCAAGATAAAGAGAGCCTTGAAGATAGTGAATTAATGAGCAGGCAAGAACGCTTAGAATTAAGGGTCCGGAGGAGCTCTCGCTTAGCTGGTAAGCGAGAAGCCAAGTCAGCCAAGGGTCATCGCAATGCGTTCATGATTGAAAAGGGTATTTAGTAGGCTTGGGCGATCCAGTTTGTTAATTTCGTAATTCGTTATTAATTCGTATTTAAATTAGCTTACGATCCAATATCGAACCATGCAGGAATAGTGTGAGGAGTAATTAAGAATCGAAACAATTTTTCCAATTTTCGTAATTATTTCGTAATTATTTTCGTATGTCTGGTGCAAGTTTTACAATCTCGCATTTACCCCACTTCCGGTCCCTTTGCTCTGCTGCTTCCCTCCTCTTTCCTCATGCTTCTTCTTGCCTCACTCTAATATACAATACTATAATATAATATATAATATAATAATATTGTAATAATATATTATATTATATTATTATAATACTATTATATTATAGTATTGTATATATTATATTATATTATATTATTATATTATATATTTTATTACTATATTATATTATATTATAATTGTATAATATAATATAATATAATATAATATAATATAATATAATATAATATAGTTGTTTGTTTTATCACACCAACAGTCAACAACAGAGGGAGAGGGAAGCTTCAGAAGTTCCCCCTGTCCCATTTGGAGGTTTTTTTAGCATATTGCGCAATCACGTCCGCCATTAACGAATCGATTCGTAATTTACGAAATTTCGGAAATTTCGAAATTTTGAAATCTTAAATTTCGGAAGTCCTCAGAATTTCGAAACGCTAGCGCACCCTAGAAACGAAACGAGTTTAGAACCAATTTTTTTCTTGATCGCCCAAGCCTATTAACTACAACCAAATGGAAGTTGTCAGTTCAACGTGGCTCTTTCCATGCAAACTCCTATGGATTAACCTTGGCTTTAAGCAGCTCGCTTTTGGCTTCCTGAATCTGGGATTTTGGGTCTTGTGTTTCACTGTTTTACCATGGACTCTTGTTTGATCATTGCCTAAAGGATTATGCTTCATGTTTTTGCCTTTAGATCTTGGGAACTGTGTTTTTGCATTTAAGCCTTTGTCCTGCTTATGGAACATTTGCATTTCTTATTCTATGTTTTGACTTTGTTTTTTTCTCAATAAACTACAAAATCTACAGCTCTGGTGTGGTGGTGTTTGGGAGCAAGGTGAAACTACCCTGAGTTGCAACAGGGAGCACCTAATTTTGCAAATGCAGATGGATACACAAACACAGCTCTCTGTGTGCAAACATTTGCGGCTTTAATTATTCTCAGAATTCCTTAATTTTTACTTAATGTTTTATTAATTTTTCCTAAAAATAATTTTTCTTTACTTTTTATTTTTTTAGTATTTTCTTGTTTTTTCTTAATATGTTTGTAATATTTTTCTTACATTTTCTTGTTTTTTCTTATCTTGTTTTCCTATTTTTGTTTCTTAATATTTTATTTTCCTCAAAATATGTTTCTTAACTTTCTGTTAAAGTTTCCTTTTTCTTATTTTTAATTTTTTTTCTTAACATTTTCTTATTTTTTCTCCTTAAAATGTCCTCCTTTTTCTTTATATATTTTTTAAAATTTTGTCTTAATATTTTATTTCTTACTTTTTTTGTATTTTAAAAAGTTTTTATTACATTTTCACAAAATGTAACTTCAATCCAACCAATTGAAAACATTATGTGCTTGTTTGTGTCGCTCCGTTCAACCCAAATACAGACTTGTGGAAGCGTGGCCATTCCCCTCATAGATGGCCCATGACTACTATTAATTAGCTCCTAATTAATTATCATAGGTCTTTAGGCTTGGGTAACAACGGAAAAATTTGTTTCTAAACTCGTTTCGTTTTTTGGGGTCCATCGCGTTTCGTTTTTTTAAAGAATTCTGAAATTTTCCTTTTAAAAATTTTGAAATTTACGAAATTTCGTATAATTACGAATCGATTCGTTAATGGCGGACGCGATTGCGCAATATGCTAAAAAAACCTCCAAATGGGACAGGGGGAACTTCTGAAGCTTCCCTCTCCCTCTGTTGTTGACTGTTGGTGTGATAAAACAAACAACAACTATAAAACTTGCACCAGACATGCCAAAATAATTACAAAATAATTACGAAATAATTACGAAATAATTACGAAATAATTACAAAATAAATTGAAAAAATTGTTTCGAATCTAATTTACTCCTCACACTATTCCTGCATGGCTCAATATTGATCGTAAGCTAATTTAAATACGAATTAATAACGAATTACGAAATTAACGAACGAAACCGCCCAGCCCTATTAATTATTAATTAGCCCCTTTTTTGTTGCAGGGCTTCCTTCCTGAAGGAGGAGAAGGAGGCAATGCGTGATTTGTCCAGTGACCTGAGAGGTAAGTCAGCTTCTCCTTACTAGTTATTGATCCATTATTGATCTTCCATTGATATGGATCCAAATATTGATTGATTTGCTTCTGTCCTTAAAGTCTTCAGGGAATAAAATTGTCCCCAAATTCACCTCTCTACCTCTGAGGATGCTTGGCCTTGAGATCCTGTTGTTGTTGTTGTTGTTGTTGTTGTTGTTGTTTTTCCTGTTTCCTTTTAAACGAGACTCAAAGCACCTCACAGCACTAAAACAATCGCAATTATAATTTAAAAGCTACGACGTGTAAACATTGGAATGGAATCAAACCTAGAAATGTAAGAAAGCAAAACACACAAAACCATTGTATTGTCAAAGGCTTTCATGGCTGGAATCACCGGGATGTTGTAAGTTTTTCGGGCTGTACTTTGGCCATGTTCTAGAAGCATTCTCTCCTGACGTTTTGCCTGCATCTATGGCAAGCATCCTCAGAGGCTGAAAAACCTACAACAACCCATTAAAAACTGCTAAAATAATGAAAACACAACAAAGCATGCAATGATAAAGGATGGAGGAAAAGGGTGATTCTGCACCCCAAACCAGCTGCTGGTTTTACAGGATGGCCTCATTGCGGTTAAAGTGGGACAAACTGGCGTAAATTCCCAGTGTGGAGATGTAGAGAGAGAGAGAGAGAGGTAGAGGTCGAGAGAGGGGGGGGGGGGGATTTTGGTTTGTTTTAACTGTAAAAATTTTTAAAGAAAAATGTAAAATTGATTGTAATGAGGAGAAATTATTAACAGAGGCGGCCCTAGGTAATTTTCAACGGTAAGCAAACAGTATTTTGGCGCCCCAACCAATCATTGATATATATTTTCTGTTTGTCGTGGGAGTTCTGTGTGTCATATTTGGTTCAATTCCATCATTGGTGGAGTTCAGAATGCTCTTTGATTGTAGGTGAACTATACATCCCAGTAACTACACTTGCCGCATTTGCTCCCTTGCCTGGCCCGCTTTGGGTCCGGAGGCGTGCCTGAAGACCCGGCGTGTGCACCAAAAGTCACCTCTTCTCCTGACTTTCTCCTCAGCCATTGGGACCAAGAGAGAGAGAGAGGTGGAGATGCCCACCTTTCCTGAAGGTAGGCGCAAAAACAAAGGAGGGAGCGGAGGTGGGAGATACCTCCAGCCGGAGGGGCTCTCTCTCTCTCTCTCTCTCTCTCTCTCGCTTGGTCCCAATGGCTGAAGAGAAAGTCAGGAGAAGAGGCGACTTTTGGTGCGCACGCTGGGGTCTTCAGACACGCCTCCGGACCCGAAGCGGGCCAGGCGGCGGCTCCGCCCCTTGGCCCACCTGTGGATTGGGGAGAGGAGAGGAGGAGGGTGGAGCGCCGGGGGATCGGGAAAGGGAGCCGGTCATGGGGAAGGGATCGAATGCGGAGAACGATTGAGCGCCGGCTCTGCTCACGCACCCAGTGGCCGGGTGGAGCAGGAACGAGAGGGGCTAGGCGAGGCTCAAGGGCCCGGCCCCTTTGGGAAGAGGATCGCCCGGCAGCGAGGCAAGAAGGCCGAGGCTCCCCCCGGACTGCTAGGGCTGTTGTGAGCTGAGGGGGCGCTCCTCAAGTGGCGGTCAAGGGGCATTTACAGAGGCGCCTCTGCGCCCCTGGCAAAAAAAGTGTTCTGCGACCGCTTACTTCGCGTAATGAACGAGCCGCCCCTGATTATTAAGAATATCCTGCTTTTCTCTCGTGAAAGCGACTGTGCATTTCCCGCCACTAGGGGGAGCCAAAGTTTTCATTGCAGGGCGGAGTCTGGAGAAGTTAAGAAATAAGAAATAAGAAAATCTCAATTTAATAAGAAAAGAAATAAGAAATAATGTGTGGAGAAGGGCCAAGGCTCTCAATTCTGGGCATGGCCTACCTGGCAGGGTTGTTGTGTGGGTGGAGAAGGGCCAAGGCTCTCAATTCTGGGCATGGTTCCACAGCACGGAAATAGTGCCAAACTACAACTCCCAAGGTCCGAATAGCATTGAGCCAAGGCAGTTCCAAGCAGAGGCGGCCCTAGGTATTTATTAGGGCTGGACGGTTTCGTTCGTTAATTTTCGTAATTCGTTATTAATTCGTATTTAAATTAGCTTACGATCCGATATTGAGCCATGCAGGAATAGTGTGAGGAGTAAATTAGATTCGAAACAATTTTTTCAATTTATTTCGTTATTGTTTCGTTATTATTTCGAAATTATTTCGTAATTATTTCGTAATTATTTTCGCATGTCTGGTGCAAGTTTTATAGTTGTTTGTTTTATCACACCAACAGTCAACAACAGAGGGAGAGGGAAGCTTCAGAAGTTCCCCCTGTCCCATTTGGAGGTTTTTTTTAGCATATTGCGCAATCGCGTCCGCCATTAACGAATCGATTCGAAATTAACGAAATTTCGTAAATAACGAAATTTTGAAATCTCAAAATTTCGGAAGTATTTAGAATTTGGAAACGCTAGCGCCCCCTGGAAACGAATCGAGTTTAGAAACAAATTTTTCTGTGGTTACCCAGCCCTAGTATTTATTTATTTATTTGTCATGTCAGGACAACCAGTCAAATTATATTACATTTCTAACAGAACAAAGCAAACAGACAAAATACAAAATTTGTGAGTTTGGTAGTGGATTAAATGTCCTTTGACCAGTCTCTGGCCCCTTGGAGTGCCTCTGGTGTTGCTGCAAGAAGGTCCTCCCTTGTGCATCATGTGGCAGGGCTCAGGTTGCATTGCAGCAGGTGGTCAGTGGTTGGCTCTTCTCCGCACTCGCATGTCGTGGACTCCACTTTGTGGCCCCATTTCTGAAGGTTG